TCCGTGCACCAGGAGGCGTGGGACTGGGCTCTTCCATCGGCCTCCGCCGCCTGTCGTCTATTAGGTCGAGGCCTAGTCAGAAGGGCGTATTTTCCATTGAGACTTGCAACGCCACGTGCTGGAAGACGGCCAAGTTGTATTTGGATAGCGAGTGCCAGTCAGAGGTGGTGGTTCTTCACGAAATCACGGTCGACCCAGGGGACAAGGCGGAGTGTGGGCAACCCATGCGCGGGCTAGGTTGGAACGCCTCCCTTTCGCCGTCGGAGATCACAGAAGTGGGTGGTCTCTCATTCGGGGTGGCGGTTGCGCGCAGAAAGTTCGTCGGCCTCGGGGTGCCGCCGACGCCGGTGGGGGCGCAAGTATAATCCGATTCTTTTGGGGTGGGGGCCATAAGTGCCATCTGCCGGCAAGAAGTCGGACCCCCGCAGGCCCCGATGGGGCCACTGGAGCAAGTGGGCGATCTCTAAGATACTTGCAGGGGCGCTGGGGCCCCCTGGGGCCGCGGAAGCTGATTGACTACCTCGCGAGCGAAATCCAGAAGCTTGCAGACTCTCAGGGGTGTAGCGTGAGATGCGTGGCGGGGTCCCCGAAGAGCCTGGGCGAGATCGGAATGGCTGCTGGGGGAGTCGAACGGCGCGCCGCTCGCGGCATCGACGTGCTCAGGCCCGGGGGCCTCGGCAAGGCCTCGGATGGGATCTAGGAAGTGCTAGGGGAGCTCTGGGCGTGGGTGGAGTATCCTTGGACGTATCCGGCGTTGCTCCTGACCGCGGCCCTTGCGGTGCTGGGTGAGCCCGATGGAGGTTTTCGACCGACGGCCCTCCTCCCAGCGCCTGTTAGAGTCTTGCCGAAGCTCGGCCGTCGCGAGATCCGCGCGCGGACAGCCAGTGTAGCTAGGCCTTATAGATGCGTGGTCGCGGGGGAGAGCTGTGAGAGGGCGGTGTGGGGCAGGGTCTAACTGTCGAGCGGAATGCGCGCGCTGGATGTTGCTCGGCGGATGCGCTTGCGGATTTAACGGAGGCCTATGATGAGTTCGACCCTTTCTTCTTGGCTAAGGCAGCGGTCAAGCATCGATCTATGCTGATTCGATTGAGGCTGAAATTGTCCCTGTTCCGTGGCAAGGTGATAGTCGGCATCCTGGGTGCATGCGCGCCTGTTGCAGTTGCTAGCCAGGGAATCCTTGCAGGGCGCGGAGAGGCGACCAGCCCCCTCAGTTGCCTGCTTCTGGACCCGCTGGATAAGACGAAGGGGTAGTGCGGGGGCGTCGGGATTTTCAGCGTCGTGGGCGATGTCGCGTTGCAGTCGTCAGGGCGCTCGTCGCGGGTGGAGAGATGGCTGCAGCGCGCTGCCATTTTTTGCGTGCCGAGTTGGAGAGACTTCTTGGTGTCATCCTGGCCCATAGTGCTGAGCGCGCATGTGGGTGCACGGCAGGTGGCGATCGGGAAGTCGAAGAGGTGGAACTTCGAGGGGGGACCCTCGGGCCGAATTCTGGGCCGCGACCGGGCGCTGGCGAGCAAGGGCCCGCGAGGGTTCAAGGTGCGTCGGGCTCGGCTCCACCGTCTTAGGTGAAGACGCAGGAGACTTCAGGAATTTCGGAGTTCGAATCGAGGGATGATGAGATTTGAGAGCTGGAGGCCTAGCGGCGGCGACGCGTGGGGCGCGGGTCCATGGGGCGTCAGCGACAAGCTTGAGCAAATACGGAGTGCAGTAGGCGCTGCAGTCCGTGGGGCGCCCAGGGGCAAGTGCAGGGCGTTGGGCTCTTATTGTGCCGGGGGCCTAGGACGGGCCCGTCCCGCGACGTCGACGTCCTCCCGTTGGCGATGCGTGGGCAGGCTGTTCGCGGCCGGTGGGTTGAGCCCAGTGTGACGCAGCTGTGCTTCGAGTTCTTCGCGCGAAATCCAGCGCTTGACTGGGGCTACGCGCGGGGGCCCGCGAGTGCGGTGGCACTAGCGTTGAGGAGGTTGGGGGCTGGAAGCGAGGTCTTGGCAGGCATTCGCGGATGAGGATGGTCCTGGGGGCAGTCTTGGAAGTGGTCCAGCACCTGAGATAGGGGGGGGGGGGGGGGGGGGCAGAGCAGCCGCGCGTCTCGCGGGGGTGGTAGCAGGGGGATATCCGACGCAGGAGGTGTTATTCGCAGAGAGGCGGGGTGTAGATGACAGATGCCAGCTGTGCCTGGCAGAAGAGGGGCTCGTCAAAGCATCGGTTCGAGTGCGTGGTCCGCGCAGGCATTGTTCGCGATTCAGCAGGTGCCGCTCCTCGGAAGTATTGCGCCGCTTCGCGCTCGCGCCCTTTTCCCGAGCGTCGCCTGGGAGTGGCCCTCGCCGTTGCAGAATGTTGATTTCACAGGGGGGTCCATCCCCCCTTGTGGAGTCCCGGAGAAAAGAGTCTGCGTCGACGGATCGGGGTATGATCAGCAGACGCCACTGTTGGCAAGAGCAGGCTGGGCATGCGAGTCGTCGCAGTCAGTTTGCGAAGTTGCTTCGTGCTACGGGCCTTTCCTGCG